AGTCTGTCAGTTTCTGTAGCGTGAGGACCGGACACGCACAGAGGGACGAGGGTGGCAGCTTTGAGAGCCAGGCTGAGGAATGGGGGCATTCTTCTACAGGTCAGCGGTGTTGGGTAACACGTGGGTTTGGCCATGAATACCAGGGACCCAAAGTAACGGTGGCTTAATCAAGATAGGAGTTTATTTCTCTCTCATGCAACAGGAGATAGCTGGCCTAGGGCTGGCATGCTGGCTCAGTCCAAGCGGCCATCCAGGGACCTAGATTCATGACGGCTTGTCACCACATCCACATTCTAGACAGCAGGATGGAGGAAGGGGCAGCACGTACACCTGCCCTTTAAGGTACTTTTTGGCAACCATACACCTCACTTGTGTCCATTTCCCATTGGCCAGAATTGACTCATGTAGCCGTTCCTACAGGCAAGAAGATACTGAGGAACATAGTTGTGATTTGGCTAAATATAGGAGGTTTTGTTCCCTGTAAGAGTGGATATTGAGGGTCAACTTGCAACTCCTTGTGTGCTGGCATTTCTTAAAAAAAAAAAGTGTCTTCAGTAAAATTAGTCCCTTAAGATGCTTCTTACCCCCACTTTGGTGGGCTGTACAGGGGATGCTTGTTAAGAATAGGTTTATTAGCCCCCAAATTTTGGAAATATTAAGGTCTCGTAGAGGTCCACAAAACAGAGTAACATACTAAAGGCTCTGAGAAGTTCTGCAGTAAAGAAATGTGTCTATCCTTGTTTACCCTAAGATAATTTGGCCAAAATCCCTTTTGAAAAATGTGTTTTGTTTTGTTTTTGTTTTTGTTTTTTTGCAGAAGCTCTGTCAACAAAAGCTTTGGGAAACACTGCTTTGGGAATTGTTAAAGATCTCTTAGTTAGCCCCGATGAAGACATTTTTACGGTAGTTCTATTCCTAGGGATGTTGTCGACGGAAATGTGTACATATTGTGTCAAAGTTTAATCGAAGAAACAGAACCGCTAGGAGATGTCTAAAGGGATTTATTGCAAGAATTTGATCTTACGCAGTTGTGGGAACTAGGTAGGCAGGCTGTATAAGGCTGTTGTCTTTCTGCCTGATGAGGGAGCTGGGACTCTATTGGGCCGGCAGCTATGGAAGAAGAGAGTATAGTTGGGAACATGGAGAGAAGCTGGAACTCATGTACAGGAACCCGGGTCAGTCCGCCTCCAGCTTTCAGGATGTGGGTGTCCTGATGAAGTTGATGCCCTTCATTGTGGAACGAAACACACACCTGGCTTAGGAGTCCGAGAAGGTGAAAGAAGATCCAGGGGAGGGTGGGTCCAGCATTCATGGGCCTGGCTGCCACCCCCAGACCCCCGAGGTGGTCCGCAGACGAGCAGTAATGCACACGAGCTGCCTGGTGCTCCTTCCCCAGCCTCCTGATGTGCATACGATATGCCGACTGCTGCCCTGCCACATCACTCCCACATCCCACATTCCACCCGTCTCACCTGGAATTCACGAGGAAGGCAATTCTGAGAGATGTAGTTCGGCCTAGCCAGGCTGACCTATTACAAAGCCACCCCACATGTGTTCACCAGATGACTTAAGTATAAGACGTTTTGTAGCGGTCTGTTTGTAACAGCCTCAAATTGGAAATAGGCTAAACGCACATCAACAGTGAAATAGATAATCTGTTACATGCATAGGGTGGAAGTAGCTTCGTGGATCCGCATGAATGAATCTTGCAAAGAATAGTGAGCAAAAGAAGACCTAAAAGAATGTAAACTACAATTGCATCGATATAAATTTCAAAACAGCCAAGCTGATTTACAGCATTAGAGGTCAAGATAATAGTTCCTGTTGAGAAAGGGTCACGAGGGGGACAGTGGGGCTTCTGGTGTACAGAAGGCTTCTCTTTCTTGGTCTGGGTGCTGGTTATGCAGGGATGTGCATGTTGGGGAAATTCACTGAGCAATAGTTAGGATTTGTGTGCTCTTCTGTACTTAGCTGTCAGGAAAAAAATTTTAGGTAAATTCAAGTTTTGTTTCTTTGTTTTAAATGTTTATTTTGAGAATGTGTGAGCAGGGGAGGGGCAGAGAGGGAGAGAGAGAATCCCAAGCAGGCTCCATGCTGTCAGTGCAGAGCATGATGGGGGGCTTGATCCCCGGGCTGTCAGATGATGCCTGAGCTCAAAATCAAGAATTGGATGCTCAACCAACTGAGCCACCCAGGCACCCTGGTGGTGTTTTAACAAGTTTTTTTGTTAGAAGTCATGGATCGGCTGGGTTGGAGGAAAGAAACAGTGTTAGGGCTCTCTGAACCCATTATGGAGCGGCAGCGAGGGAAGAAGGCAGCGGATAAGAGAAGAGGCAGGTTGGGTAGGCGAGGAGGACGGCGTCTACCTGAGGGACACTGCAGCAGCCCTGTCCCAGGCTGTCCCTTCCTAGGCCGGCCACCTGTTCCCATCGCAGAGGGTTAGGGCCGTGTACACAGGCTGAAGCAGGAGCTCGCCAGCAGAATCCCCATGTGCTATGAGGCAGGGTCCATGATCCTGTATATCGGGGATAGGTCCCAGCACCCTTATAAGTTCCCTGGGTGTCCTCATACACTCCACAGGCCGAAAGCCACTGAACCACAGAGATAGTAGACATGCACAGAAGGGGAAAGATGGAAATCCCTTTATCCCCAAGTTCACCCCTCTTTCAGTGTGCAGCATGCTTTTCCTGTCTTTAACCCGGACACGCACAACATCATTCTATCCTTTCTGTTTTATAAAATCCTAATTCCCCTTTACACGCTTTTGGGTTTAGCTCTTTGTTAGAGCCATGGTTCCTCTCTTGAAAGTAAACTATTTGAAAGCACCTTAGGCTCTGAAGGTGAGGCCGGATAACCCTCCGTGGTGCCTGCCATGTTTGGAGACTGGACCCATATGTAGGTAGACGGATATGCAGCTTCTCTGATGCTTGGAGCGCGGTCTGAAAGCACTGTTGGCTGGATTATTCACGGCATCTCTCATGCCTAGGAAAGTAGGGTTTGGAGTAGTGATAAGAAGTTTGTTCTAAAATAAAGTGTCATAATCCTTCCCACCCCTGTTTATACTCACAGGGCCATTGCCTACTCCTGGGCAGGTCACCCAGGGCCTGCCGCATCTGCTGCCCTCACCCCCCAAGTCTTCCCACCTTTCTCTGCCCTTGAAAGGGTCATTTCACACGTTTCTTTCCCACTTGGCTGAGGCCTGTGCCAGGTGCTCAGAGCACAAGGGAAGCGGGCGAGCCTCTGTCTTCAAGGAATATGTATTCCTCTTGTACTGGATACTTGGGAATTTATGTTTAATTTTCTCCCCCTCATTGTAGTTGGGAATTAAAAGCTAGAAGCAATCTTACAGGAGAGTCAGCCTCCTCACGTATTGAATTGTCTTCATTTTACAATAAGGAAACCGGGGATCCAAGAGCTTTTACCAGAGGCCACACAGCTTGTGACAAAACCAAGCCTTGAAGCCAAGTCTAGCCTGGGCTAAGTGCATATTTAACTGCCCCCCCCACACCGCTGTCGGGTGACTGGTCTAGCTTCATGCAGGGAGTCCAGGCCCGGCCTGGAAACCAGCTCTTTTTTTTTTTTTTTTAAGTTTATTTATTTATTTTGAGAGAGAGAGAGAGAGAGAGAATGAGCAGGGGAGGGGCAGAGAGGTTGGGGGACGGAGGATCGGAAGCAGGCTCTTTGCTATCAGCATACAGTCCAATGCAGGGCTTGAACTCAAGAACCATGAGATAATGACCTGAGCCAAAGTCAGACACTTAACCCACTGAACCCTTCAGGTGTCCCCGGAACCCTAGTTCCTGGCAGCCCCTGAAGCACACTAGCTCAGCTGGTTAGGGGTGACTCTGAGCAAGTGCTCTATTTGTCTCTTTGTTTCCTCGGATGTAAAAATGGGAGAACGTTAAAAATGTGGTAGTTGGTTGCACAGCTGACTATACTAAAAGCCGTTGAATTGTTTGCCGTAAGTGAGTAGATGGCACGGTGTGCGAATTGTATCTCAAGCTGTTAGAAAAAATAAAATAAACTCACGCATAGCTCGATACTGTTATTTTGAAAAATTTTGAACACACGAGAAAACAGTAGGGAATATTCCATAGTGTTCTGTCAGTATGTGTTCTGTCCGTGTTCTGGGTAACAGTGCTATTGTGCAAATCTCCGATTCCCTCAATCTGATAGATGCTCATCACTGCTCACATTCTCGTCTCTCATAGCGTTTATACCCTGGAACTGTAATCTGTGGTCTCCTTGTTTATCTCTGGATTCTAATCTCTTTGCAGTCAGGGACTATGTCTTATTTGACTTTGTAGCTCCAGCGTCCAGCTCGGTAAAAAGTCAGTAACTGATGATGAGTGAATGAGCCCCGAGGTTCTGGAAGCAAAGAACTGAAGGCTAAGCCTTGGATATGGGCCTCACCTAGGGAGAGAAGAGAAAGACTTTGGGAAGGAAGCAGAGCTACCTAGACAGAGAAGTAGGGAAAAAACCAAAATAGTATTTTGTCATGGGAATCAAGGCAAAAGAGGAATACACTTTTGAGGAATTCTCAAATTCCACAAAGAGGTCAATGACAACGTGAATTAAAAAGAGTTCAGGGTTGTCAGAGTCATCAGTAGCTGTAGAAGGAGAAGTTGGAACAAGATCTCAGGGGGTTAGGGAAAGGAGACGGGGGTAAGAATCATGCCCTCGGAAGTAAAGCCATGAAAGGAAGGACGTTTGAAAGTAGCTATGCAGAATGGAGCACCAAAGACCATATCGTCACTAGAAAGAATGAGCTCCTCTCTCAGCAGAGGGCAAGGCTCCTTTAAGGCCTGTCTCCTGGCCCTCTGGAGTAACTGGGGAACTCTGCCAGCGTGTGGGTGGTGGATGAGATGACCCACTTAAGCGTCTTGGTGGCTGAGCCAGCAGTGCGTGCATTGGGCAGCCGTATGCCCTCAGCCCTTGTACTACGTCCTTTTCTTTGAATGACTTTGTTTCTTTTAACTTGTCACCTCCCTTTCCCACAGGGAACATGGTGGAATGGTGCTTACCTCAAGATATTGACCTTGAAGGTGTTGAGTTCAAGTCTATGGCCAGTGGGTCCCATAAAATTCAGTCTGACTTCATGTAAGTATTTCAGAATGTAAATCCCTGTACCATTTCTCTCTTCTCACAGACTTTTCTCATCAGGGGGTCTTCCAAAGGTGTGTAGAAATGCCCTGAAAATATATATAGATAGATTTGTGTTTATTTCAGTTTTCCAGCAAGAAGGCCCCCAGCTTTCATTAGGTTCCCAATGAGTTTCATGACCCCAAAAGTTAAGAACTATCAGAGGTTCTCTCTCCCTTTTAAGAAAACGCTAGGTCTTACCTGAGGTTTGGCTTTGTTGAAAGAATGGACTTTCAGTACAGTTTGGGTTAACTTAAGCCATTTGTGGGCTAAAACTTGAAAGTCCAGCTTTCAGTAAGGCCAAGTTATAGTCCTGTGTAATTAAGATTCGTGTGAGGAGCAAACGAATAGAACACGAGGGTAACCAGAGTAGCTTTAATCTTCTCACTGGGCTGAAACCATGACAGAAGTGTAAGAAAGGGGGAGGAGATAAAGTGACAGCTGTGGTCATCCGCCCTGTTAAAAATATCAGAGACTCAGGAAGTGAGGAAAGAATCGATGTGGCTTATGCTACTAAAACAGAGCGCCCTTCCAGAGGGGCCTGAAGATGAATCTTTGTTTTGGTTCCTTACGGCATCAGTAGTTATGCAGGAGCGAAGGAATCTGTCCATGGTCATGGGCAGTGCAGCAGCAGACTTGCCAGAGGTCAAGTCCTAGCTCCTGCTGGGTGACCCTTGGTGAGTTGGGTAATCTCTTCATACCTGGGTTGTCTCCTCTGTGGGGTTGAGTGGCCTGGACTGACATTCCCCTTTGGTTCTAAAACATTGGTCTTCAGACTGAGAGCTTTGTCATGCAGACCCCTGGACACAGCTCTCTGTCTTCCTTGGGGCTGCATCTCACATTAAAAACCGAAGCCAGGGGCACCTGGGTGGCTCAGTCGGTTAAGTGTCCGACTTCAGCTCAAGTCACGATCTCGCGGTCTGTGACTTCGAGCCCCACATCGGGCTCTGTGCTCACAGCTCAGAGCCTGGAGCTGGCTTTGGATTCTATGTCTCCCTCTCTGTCTGCCCTTCCCCTTGCTCACATACTCTGTCTCTCTCTCTCAAAAATAAAAAAATAAACATTAAAAAAAATTTTTTTGAAACAAAACAAAAACCGAAGCCAAACAAAATTTCTCTTCTCTGATTTTGGGCCCCACGACGCATTTGTTCCGTTTTAGCTATTTCCGAAAGGGACCCTTCTTC